CACACACACACACACACACACACACACACACACACACACACACACACTGTGTTGAAATTCCCATTACAAAAGAAAACATAGCTAGAGACCAGAAAAAAACAAATCGATATGCGAATAGAGTGGCGCTCTATCTTGAAAAACAACAATGGCCGGTGATTTTGGAAATATCAACAATTACAGTATCCTTACTGTTCAGTTTTATTATACAAACAATATCGATCTGTAAGTTAAGTAAGCTTTTTGAGTTGCTAAATTCCAGATCGATTCAGTCAGTTGACGTGTTGAATGATGGGTGTTATGGCAATGCATTTTATAAAGCGGCATCTGTTCTATATGTCTGTCTGTGACAAATATTTTCACGTCTCCTATAAAATTTTCAGATGTTCTTGAGTATACTCAAAAGAGATTATAAAAAATCCATTACTTTATCAATTTTCTGGTTTATACGAGTTCAATAGTCATTTCAATTTTCCTCCTTATTACTGTCGGCGAATGACACACAGCCACGCCGTCCCGCCATCCGCGTGAAGCCAACGAATAAAAATGCCGTGCGTGTGGCAGATACTTTTGTAGTACAAATAAAGTTAAAATAAACAGAAAATGCCTAGCTAAGAGCGACACCTGAGAGGACTAATCTACAAAACAATTTTTGTAGACCGGTCCTCCACGTCTTTCTCTACCTTTGTAGACCGGTCCTCCACGTCTTTCTCTACCTTTGTAGACCGGTCCTCCACGTCTTTCTCTACCTTTGTAGACCGGTCCTCCACGTCTTTCTCTACAAATGTCATCCTGAAGCTGTTGCCCGTTTTAACTATGTTTGTTTCTCATGAAAACTCTACCTAAATCATCTATAAAATAACACTTTTTTTCTAGTAGTTGGTAAAGAAACAACGTCAAACAAACAAGTAAGTTTGTTGATAAAACATACTGATAACACGTGCTACCTCCATTTTTAACAATTCAATGCCATTGTGTATTAAAAGCTAAGGGTAATATAAAGAAGGTGTATATTTCGTAGCCTAAGGTTACAAGTTAAGCACGCTCTGTCTTAAGATGAAACATTCCAGTCAACAGATACTTTAACACAGAATTTCTAAAGGAGCTGAAACCACTTGGCATATTGTAGTTTCTGTGCTTTTTTCTTTCTTTCGGCGCTTCCACTAACCACCTGTCATTTCTTCCTATATACGTGACCTTGCTCAAAGATGAAGCAGGGATTAAAGCAACTAGCCGCCAATCCGTCTCAAGGTGGTGAGATTTTAGCCCGGGAGACTTGCTCCGTCTGCTACTATTCTTATTTTCAGACTGGGGGTTTTATCCCCTCTTTCTAATGACGCCTAGAACGCAAATTTGAAATACTTTTTTTTCCCATCGCAAAACACGTGAACGACAGGACGAATTAATTCTGCTTTCGATTCATTTCAAAGATGTTGTCGTTTTAGTCGCTCAGCTTATAATAAACGGAATGTCACGTGACTAGATTCCTTGACATAAGAGCTTGAAAACACGTTTTATGATGTTTATGGAAGACAAGAAAACGCACTAAAACTATCGTGTTATGGACTTGCGAGTTCATACTATGACGGATGAATCTTCGAATAGAGGGCCAGGCATGGCCTAGTGGTTAGCTTGCCCGGACTGCGAATCCGAGGGTTTATGGTTTGCGTCCCATGCCGCATATAAATCCGCGCTCCGTTTTCTTAGGATCGTGGGCGTGCTATAAGAGTAACGAGCATATTCCTCCATTGCGTCAGACAAGGTCCCCCCCCCCCCTCAGTTGGACAGCGGTAAGTATTCGGATTTACAACGCTAGAATCAGGGATTCGTTTCCCCTCGGTGGACACAGAAGATAGCCCAATGTGACTCTGCTATAAACACACACACACACACACACACACACACACACACACAC